GGGGAGGGGGGAGGGGGTTTGGGTTGGGGGTTGGGGTTGGGGTTGTATGTATCCGGTATTGGGGATAAAGTATTGGACGGTCGTAAGGAGGAGGAGGAGGAGGAGGAGGAGGAGGAGGAGGAGGAGGGGGGGGGGGTATGAAAAAAGTAAGTAAATAGCGGGTTGCTCTTTGGGATGCGTTGCCAGGGTCCAAGCACAGCAATATTGTCTACTACTACTACTACTACTACTACTACTACTACTACTACTACTACTACTACTACTACTACTACTACTACTACTACTACTACTACTACTACTACTACTACTACTACTACTACCACCACCACCACCAGAGAACGCACGGAGTTGCTCCGCATGAATATTTAAGAGACAAGCGGGGTTTTCATCTCCCCCGCCCCATCTCTGTCCTCTTTTTTCTCTTTTTTCCCTCTTTTTATTATCATTCTGTATCATCAGCTCTGCCCTACTAACAGCCCAACACCGACCCACGGGCCAGCGGGGGTGCGGGCTGCCCAGGCATACCTGGACACATAGGGGGGGGAGGGGTTGGGTTGTGCTCTCTCCCCCAAAGTATACTTACCTAATATCTCTTCTAATATCTTCTATGCAGAGTTACCAGTTGGTAGCTGCTTTCATATCCGGTAACCGCATCCGCACACAAGAACGGCCGGATTGGAAATCCGTGAAAATGCATGTGTTCCTACCGGTCTTGCAACGCACATTCTTTTTTTGCTCGTTCTGAGTTTTCCTGAGCGGGAAGCCGGGGCGAAGGGTCGTCCGCGCTGGCCAATCACACGCCGCGCAGCCGGCACACGCTGCACTAACGTTCCCTGTCCAGTGGCTCGGAGCAAACCCCTTGGCGGGTTAGCCGGGTGGCGGCTGCTGACTCAGAACTCAGTCCTTGCCGGCACTAACTTAGTGGTTGCTCCTCTAGCCTATTGGGGAACCGCTGGGTGCCCCGTGCACGCTGTCCGGCTTACTAACCCACCGCCGTTTTTCCCGTTTAGGACACACGAAGCCCGTACGTCGCCCTACGTGGCCCCACGGGCAGTTCCAGCCGGGGTTTGGCCGATCAATCTGCAACCTCGCCGACCAAACCGCTGCTGGACGCAACCCCCAAACGCGGCAGGCAAGTGATGAGATCTGGCCAAGACCGGGAAGAGGGGGAAGAGGAGGGAAGAGGGGGCCGCCTGCGCATCGCTCATGACGACGACGACGACGACGACACAATTTGGCCAGTCAACCCGGCATCAGCCAGAATAATGCAAGCCCGCCGAATGCCGCAACACTCCGGTGCGCTCTGCAGGCCCTGGTCTCTCCCATCCGTGCATGAGTAGCTACTCCCCTGAAGACCACTCCGCTGTCCACTGTCCAATGCCACTGGCAGGAGACGCACCAGTGGCTGGAAAAGTCTTCGTCAACTTCCACACCGTATGACGTACGCAGCTGAAAACGGAAAAGCTGCACACGATCAGCGCCTATATATAGAGATATGTATATATATATATATATATATATATATATATATAGAGAGAGAGAGAGAGAGGAGGGGGGGGGGACAATGAGGACGAGTCTCACCGTCTGTATAGGTATAGTTCCCCCGGCAAGAATCCATAGTGCATATCTTACCCAATTAATTCCACTGGGGGATCTCAGGTGGGTCCGCGGGTCAGATTTACGTTTCTGCGCCGCCAACCGGACCTGAATGAACGCGGGGGTTGAGCTGAAGGAATTTTGCTCCGTGCGGAGTAGATACACTAGCTTCAGCCGTGTTTCATCCACAACATCGGCAAATCGACCCCAGAGGTTGATTTACTGGGGGGCCGGGGAAGAGTGTCGTACTGAGGAGGATATCTCAGATAGCATTTATAGTTTATACACATCTTCCTCCCGCGGAAGAACCTACGTTGCGTTGAAATCTGGCAGACTAACAAACAGTACACACGGGAGACCGCCCCTTTTCTCCTTTCCTTTCTCCTTGCAAGAAACACCCAAAATGTATATATATCTACATGTATATGTGTAGATGCACTACACTGCACTGCATTGAGCAGTTTCATCCATGGAATAGAGCAGCAAGTGTAGCAATGCTGTCACCATGCAAGCCCGGCTGGAAACGCAAGGCATGACGAAGCAAGGACGCGTACGAGCCTCCATCATCTTGCTTTTCATATGCCCAGGCCCTGAGCTCTAATATGGATAAGATATGCATGTGCGTGTGCGTGTGCGTGTGCGTGTGCGTGCGTGTGTGTGTGTGTAGCATTTCTGAACTTCATATGGTTTCATATGGTTTCATATGCGCTTATGTCCCACGGGTACGACTTATATTAGGAGCGTCAGGTGAGAAGGGGAGAGGGAGAGAGGGAGGGAGGGGAAGTGTGTTGGCACACATGTAGCACGGCACCGATGCATACATAACGGCCATATATATGCTAGGCCTGCCTTCGTCTAGATGTTGATTACCGTTCACGCGGGGATCAAATCATCCGGACAGATGATCTGGCGAAATGCACAGGTGTTATGCGTAGACACAGATAAACTGAGAGACTGCATGGTATAACCAAACAACAACTAATAATAATAATAACAATAACAATAACAATAACAATAATAATAATAATAATAATAATAATAATAATAATAATAATAATAATAATAATAATAATAATAATAATAATAATAATAATAATAATAATAATAATAATAATAATAATAATAATAATAATAATAATAATAATAATAATAATAATAATAATAATAATAATAATAATAATAATAATAATAATAATAATAATAACAACAGAGGGACAGACATATTATGTCGTCACACTCTATACCGATGGGGCAAGCATTTACCTCCCATGCAAGAATCATTAACAGATGGGATATACCCATCAACCCCACAGTGGAAAGATGAGTCGGACAAAGACAGACCCTAGCTTCGTATATGCCTTCAGTTCTCTCCAAATCGGCCAATACAACGCCGACGCATTCCCAAGGACATGACATGCATATATACCACTCTCCACACCACCAATCCCCTACCACGAACTCGCTCTCTTCAGAAACCGGAACTCCCCCTCGCCCCGCTCGAACCCCTCCCCCACCTCCTCCAGCACAAAAGTCAACTCCAGCTGCCGCGCGATCTCCCGCACGATCTCAATCGCACCGCGAATCTCTTCCCCGCTGACGCTGAGGTTCTTGCAGCCGAAGAAGTGACTTTTATATATACATATATATATATATATTTGGAATTGAGAAGTTAGTTGGGGCTTATTATATTCTTACTAATAAATAAATAGATAAATGAATGAATGAATGAAAAAAAAAAAAAAAAAAAAAAAAAGGAGGTGAGGAGTAAATAAATAAAGAAATAAAACTCACCCCTTCGCCTGCGGCCCAACACCATCCGCCAAACAACACGCAAACTCCAACAGAACCGTCTCGCGCCCATCCAAAATGCTCGTCTCAGCCATCAACTCGCCGTAGATGCTCGAGATGGCGAAATAGCTCAGGTCACCTGCCGAACTCGCGCCCATGGACGCTAGCACGCGCTCCGTGTGGTTTGCGTAGATCTGGCTGAAGAATTGCTTGCCGCGGGCGTAGCGGGATTCGGAGGTGGGAAAGGTGGAGAGCGTGCGCAGGGGTTTGTCGGCTTGGAGGGTTGCGAGGACTGGGTTGCTGGTGGTGGACAGTGATGCTTGCAGGGCGAGAAGGGCGTTTATGCCCTGTTCAACTTATTATTATTATTATTATTATTATTATTTCCGAGTTGGGGGGAAAGTGGGTTTTATGTATGTAGTGCTTGCCATCAAATGTGGATGAGGGAATAAGAATGAAGAATGGGGGTACGCTGAAAGTGAACTTACCCGCGGAAACCCAACCAACACACTCGCCTTCAGACAGCTCTCCCTGATCCGTCGGGCGATCCCAAGCTGTCTTGACCTGGCATCATCGCCAGCTATGTCATTTCTGCTCTCCCTTTCACCTTCACCTTCGCAGCGCTGGCTGATATACTTCCATAGCTCACCCACGGCGGCTTCCTTGTGGAACGCTAGGAGCGAGGCGGCTGCGACGATGAACCAGACGGAGTTTATGCCGGTGGGGCTTTGGTTGGGGATCAAGGCGGCGAGGCGGTCAAAGTCAATGGAGAATTCAGTGCCAGAGCGCGGCGAGTTGGCATCTTGGTTTATGTGGCTGTTATCGGTGTCTGGCGGTGATGGAGACGATGAAGAAGAGGAGGCGGAGAAGGAATTGGAAGAAAAGGGGCTTGAAGTTGACGTAGAGTATGATCTCCGTTGATTCTGGAATGCAGGCAAGCCTTGTATCCCTGAGCTAGCCAGGAGCGGAGAGGGGAAGCGGACGTTGGCCCGTGGTACACCCGCTGGTGACGGGAGCCGGGTCGCTTGCCGATCCGATCCTGATTCCAAACCTGATTCCGGGGCGGCAGACGATTCAGCTTCTCCTTGGACCCCTGATCGGGACATCGAGACGCTGGAATTGCCGAAGGACCCGAGACATCTCCGTGTTCCTTTTCTACTTGCGCTGCTGGTCCCACCAGCAGCAGCAGCAGCAGCAGCAGTAGTAGTAGCAGCAGCAGCAGCAGTAGTAGCAGCAGCAATAACACTATCCATTCCCACAGCAGCTCCAGCCATCAAGCTGTGATCAGAGCGCAGTGGCACAGACATGGGAACAGAGTTATAGACATGCCCATGTACAGATCCATTAAGAAGATCATTACCCACAGCCGACACCGTAGTGCCAATCACCCTTCTTTGCCTTTGGTCCGTCCCCTGTAGCAGCCGTCCTCCAATGGATATGGCATTGGCATGCAGAGACGTGGACGGAGCCCGAAAGAGATAGGAGCGCATCGTCGAGCTAGCAATGTTCCAGCAAGGCCAGACCCAAAGACCAGCGCAAAAATACGTATATCCCCCGGAGAAAAATAGGGAGTTAAAGTGAGTAAAACTGGATCGGGCGACGGGGCTTTTCTCCCGCCGATTCCTTGAAATCGGGGACCGACGTATCCCTCCCCTCCACCCGAGTCCTGCTTGCGGAGAGAGGGGGATGTCGATCAGGGATGGGAAGATCGACAGCAAAACAGGACTATCTCATGCACATGAAAAGACGGCCGAGAAAACAAAAAATAAATAGTAAATGCGATGGAATATCACCACGAGGGGGACTTTTAAAAACACTTAAGTGGATTGCGATTCGATGGCCCGGCTTTTCTTGCGCCTTGTTTGGGCAAACGAGGTTTAAACATGCCGAGACGTGTTCGGCTGCTCGGTAATGCCAAGCCCGGCTGATCGGGAGAGCTGAGTCAGGCTGAGCGAGCCTCTTTGCGGAAAACACGCAGTTATGTATGTAACTATAACCAGGCGTAGGAGACCGGTTATTAATTTCCTTGTGACACTGTAGTTGGTTGCATTGATAGGATACATAGATGATGTATAGATTTAACGGATTTGGTATGTATGTACAGTGTTTAGATGCAGGTTATATACAACGGACGGATGCAGAACAGGTAAGGGGGGGAAGCTAAAGTAGTGATAAAAAAAAGGAAGAGAAAAGAGAAAAAAAAAAAAAAAAAAAAAAAAAAAAGGGGGGGGAGGGGGTGTGAAACTCTAAAAGAGATCTCTATCAAGAAGTGTAAGAGGGGGATAAAAATACACAGTGAATTTCTTAATGCAGATGGAGAGAATGTAAGAAGGGTAATGTAGAAAGCAACCTGGAAGCGGAAAAGCAGGAAACCAGGGGAGGGAAAAATGAAGCCGAATCGTCTATAACGCGGATGCAGTGTCTCATGCATGATCCGGCCAGTACGACTTGATGATCTCCTTCTTATTCACCTTGCCCATCGCATTGCGATCGATATGGTCAACAAGCTTCAGGACGGTCGGAATCTTATAGGACGCCATCTCCTCCTTCAACTGTGTACGCAGAGGTACCAACTCGAGCGGAACTGTCTTTACAGTGTAACAGAGCAAATCAGCATCCAATCCATCACACATAGAATCAAAATATGAAGTGAATAGAAAATGGAAAAGGAAGTCAGAGCGTTAAAATATGTCTATATAAAAATTAACATACCCCAGGTCTCTGCTTAACAACTGCAGCAACCCTCTGCCCCCATTCCTCATCGTCAAGTCCCACAACGACCACCTCCTGAATAACATCCAACGCAAGCATCTTCCTCTCGACCTCCAGCGCCGAAATCTTGAACCCTCCCGATTTAATAAGATCAACCGACGCCCTTCCCTGAATAAAATATGCACCCGTCCCATCCCTCTTCGCCACATCGCCCGTCTTAAACCAACCATCCCCCGAAAACTCCCGCACGGTCGCCTCAGGCTTCCCCCAGTACTCCAAGAACACATTCTTCCCCTTAACCTCAATCATGCCCGCCTCCTCGTCGCCATCCGCCAAAACCCTACCCGTATCCCTATCCGTCAACCGCACCTGCACGCCCGGCAATGGCCACCCCACGCTCCCATCAATCCTCGTCTCAACATCTAACCCACAGCTGATCCCCATCCCAATCTCCGTCATCCCATACCTCTCCAACAACACCTGCCCCGTGATCTCCGCGAACTTCGTCTTGATGGGCGTAGGCAGCGCAGCGGAACCGCTAACGACTAACCGTAACGCCTGCGCGCCGCTCCTTGCGTTCTTCTCCAACTCTGTCGATCGGATGTGCGTATCGAAGTAATCAACCAGCCGCGAGTAGACGGTGGGGACGGCGAAGAACATCGTCGACGAACCCCTATCGGACCATCGTTCCCATACCAGACCCGGGTCGAAGCTGGGGTGCATTTCGACCGTTGCGCCGCTGAGGAGGGAGGCTGTGAGGCCGTTGATGATGCCGTGGACGTGATGGAGGGGTAGGACGTGGATGAGGTGGTCGGACGGTGTATATTGCCATGCCTGGGCCAGACAGGTGGATTGAAAAGTTATGTTTTTGTGGGTTGTGACGCAGCCTTTGGGGTTTGAGGTTGTTCCGGATGTGTAGATAATTAACGCCCGTCTGCACTGGGAGAAGGGGGCGTGAAAGGGTGGGAGAGATGGTGGGGGGTTGGATTCGGTGTATGGGGTAAGGTTGAAGAACGGGATGTGCGGGGTGGATTTTTGGAGGGCAGCTTTTAGGTGGGCGAACGATGGATGCAGGATTATCAGGGATGGCTCTGAGTCTCTGATTGTATATACGAGTTCCTTTGGCGGGTGGGTTGTGCCTGTATATTATTTTGCTTCAGGGTTGGAATGAAGAATGTATACATATGGACATTTTGGAATAGATAAGCAGAAACGTACACAATGGCACGCATACGCCGCCAGCAGCCCATACCGCCCATTGACACACAACATAGTCATATCCCGCGGGTGTCAGAAATGCAATGCGTCTCTCATCCAAATCTCCCTCGCGCTCAGGTTCCAACGTCTCCAGAATCAGCTTCTTGAAGGCGGAAACATCCGCCAGGAGCTGTGTGTACGTGAAGCTTTGACCTTTTGTCCTATCGATAATTGCGATTTTGGCAGCATCTTTGCATGCATGGGTCTGCGCAGCCACAAAGAGAGGAAACGAGGGTATAGAAGAAAGCGCCAGTAGTTGATCCCTTCTTTTGGAAAGCAGCAGCTCTTGTCGCTGGCGGTTTCGGAAGAATTGGAATGTGAAGTAGGGTATTGAGAAAGCTGCAGCGGCCGAGAAAGAGATGAGAGCCCAGTTCTGCTGACGATATATTGAGAAAGTGACTAGGCACATTCTTCTTATTTAAAGAATACTGTCGTTGTTGTTGATGTGTCTGTCTACCGTAGCCCTGGAAGTCGACGGCCGTCAGTCACCTTTTTTTGACCGTGGCCCGTTGCCCAACGATCTTCGTTCGTCTGAAGAGGAATCCACTTTGTTCTCCTACTTCAAGATGTTGAAAAGACAAAATAAATATGATGAAGTTACGTTTTATGTGTAATTTGAGAATTATTATTTTTGAGGTTCTTGCGCATTTTGTCTGGTTTTTGAATGTTTTTTTTTTTTTTTTTTTTTTTTTTTTTTTTTTTTTTTGAATGTGCCACCCCGATGAAGTTGCTGGCGGCGATTGTTTGCTAAGGGTTCTTAGCTTGAGAGTCTCAGCCGCGGTTCCGTCATTAAATGGAGAATGGAAATTATCCATGGATCGAATGGATCTTTGCCAGATTTGTTCGGTGCGCAGGAATAATTCCCGGCGAGTTTGCTGTCAGTATCGGATGGCGGCAGTGTGGGGGTGGAGGACGCAAGAATAGATCGTCATCATCTCCATTCTCTTAAGCTCCAGCTCCATCCGTCACGGGCCATCGTCATTCAGACACAGCATTGTTGCGTCGCACTGGCTCTGTTCGTCAGGCAACAACCAGCCTCAGGCAGAGAGGCCAGCCCCAGGACAAAGAGCGGCGGGCAGAAGAGCGACAAAAACGGAATCCCTCCAGGCCTCTTGGACTTCCAATTCAGCATCACCTGCAGAACTCCGATATGGCCAAGGTCAGTTTTGTGGTACAGTTACAAATTCAACGCTGCTGCTAGGGCCGGCGGAGCGGCAGATGGGCTTGGGAGCCTGCCACAGAGGCTGCAAAGTGGGGTTTTGGGTGGGCAAGACACTACCAGCTCCGACGGTCATATACAATGGAAAAATTGGAATAATAAGGAGGCTTGAATTGCCGAGTGATTGGCCAGTGGTTTGGTCTGGAAAAGTGGCCATTGGCCGCAACCGCAGAGAGGGATCATCCCAACGGCGTCTTTCCAAGAGTGGTCCTGGTGGTGGTACCTTGCTGATGCTTCGGTCTCTTGATTCGGGATTGTGGTTCGTTAAGGAACGGGAGCCAGCGAAAGCCACCAATATAACAATCTAAACAAAAACAACATTATCAACGAATCCCGGCATCCCTACGATCAACCAGCATAATACTGCAATTCTTCCAGGTTCTCCTGTCCTCAACTAAGCCAGATTCGCACACTCTCCCGCTGCTGTCAGCACAACCCGCGCGGAATCTACTCCACCCCAGCTCCAAACAGTCCACCCACTTCCTACCGTAAATTTTGTATCAAGCTATGATTTGATCAAGGGGTTGTTCTGCTCTAAGCTTTTCTTCTTTGGTCTATTGCTAACGCTCAACATGCGGGGTTGAGCCTGCAGCAGACCACATCCATCGACCAAAACTCTACTGGTTTTATCTACATGGATGCAGAAATGTCCAGGATATGAAAACAATAAAAACAGGAATAAGATCTGTTATCGGCGCCTAAAGAAAAGGGGATTGTCATTTTTATCGCGCGGGGTTGAAGAGTCGAGACTTTGGACTAGATGGGGGGCTTCACTGTTGCATGCATGATTGATGTTTTAATTGTATCTGAGCTCCCTTGATTCACGTTTAAATACTTTGCAGTCACCCGTCCCACGCCCAGTTCCCACTGAACTGTCGGATTTTATCTTTCCGAAGTTGGCTTACTGGCGGGCGTCATTTCACTCTTCAGTTTCTCATATTCAGTTGGTGAACCGACGACGTTATAGCCATCTTTCCATCATGGCTGATACCAAGAACATCGAAAGCGGCACCGTCATCTCTGCAGACACCAGCAAAGAGGCCGTTGTCAACAGCAAGGGCATATTTCCCGAGAAGGGCGCTGCTGAGAACCGAGACTATGCTGGTGCTGTTGCAAAGACTGATCCAGTTGAGATCCGCCTGGTGCGGAAGCTGGATTATCGGATCATGGTATAATTATATATTTGCATTTACATTTGCACATACACTCATATTAATCTCTATTTATATTCATTTCTGGTCTTATATCGAGATCTAATACTCGTCCATCTATACAATTACAGCCAATCCTGGTCGTCATGTACTTCCTCAATTATATCGACAGAAACACTCTCGCCCAAGCACGGCTGGACGACGTCGAAAAGGAGCTGGGCATGGAGGGCGAATTCCAGTTTAACACCACCATTTCCATCCTCTTCGTCGGTTATGTTTTGATGCAGATTCCCAGTAATATGTTGATTACAAGAGTCTCGCCAAGTATCTATATGAGCAGCTGGATGGTGGTCTGGTCAATCGTTTCAGGTCAGTGACACCCTAAAATTAGGACGAAGAATTAGAGAAAAATTTCGAATACAGCGATTGAACTGAATTAAACCGAACCTTTTTATTAGCATGCACTTCGTTGGTCCAGTCCTACGCTGGTATGGTCGTGTGTCGCTTTTTGCTGGGTGTGACCGAAGCGCCAGTATGTTACATGTCCCTCGATACAAGTATACGGATTTATATCAAAATTATACGTGAAGGCTGAAGAGGTCTAACGAGAACTATGTAGTTCTATCCCGGGGCAACATATCTTCTGGCCATCTTTTATACTAGAAAAGGTTATTCATCCCCAGTTCTCCCTTGTGCCTACCAGACACTAAACCTCAAATGCAAATTTGCCAACAGAGGTCGCCTCTCGAATAGCTGTTCTGTACTGTGCCCAGATCCTCGCAACAGGGTTCGCCGGCCTGATTGCTGCAGGAGTCTTCAAAGGCATGGACGATGCGCGGGGCCTGTCTGGATGGAGATGGTAAGTTCCTAAAACACACACACACACACACACACATACCCTCCCACCCCACCCCCAACACCTTGCTTTTTTTTTCCCGGTATATCTCTCATACCTAAGAAGCCAATCCAGCTAATGCTGCTCCTTTCCTTCCCTTGTTCGCTAGGCTGTTTATCATCGAAGGCTGCATCACCACTACAGTCGCACTGATAGGCTTCTGGCTCTTACCAGATACGCCCCTTACTACCCGCTGGCTCAAACCAGATGAACGTGAACTCGCCCATGCCAGAATCGAACGGGACAAGATGGGCCAGATGGGCGAAGAGAGCTCTGTAATGGAAGGCCTGCGCCAGGCAGCCAAGGACAAACGAACATGGATTTTCAGTTTGATGCAGAATTTCCACCTGGCTGCTTGCGGCTTCAATAGCTATTTCCCAACGTAGGTTCTATTTGGCATTTTTCCCTTCAATAACCCGCCTTTTATGAGTTTCAAGAAACCACAATTCTAACCCAAGAAACCCCACGCACCAGCGTCGTGAGAACCCTTGGGTTCCCTAAAACTGAAACCCTCCTCCTAACCTGTCCCCCCTTCATCTTCGCCGCCTGCTCCGCAATCTTCATGGGCTGGTCCTCCGGCCACTACCACGAGCGCACCTGGCATATAACCATTGGCCTTTTCGTTGCCATCGTAGGCTTCGTCATCGCCTGTTCAACCCTAAACACTGCAGGGCGCTATATCGCCTGCTTCATATTCCCCGTAGGTGCCTACTCGGTCAACTCCGTGATTATCGGGTGGGTGTCGTCGACGCTGTCACAGACGCGGGAGAAGCGGGCGGTTGTGTTGGCTATGCATAATGTCGCGGGGCAGATTGGGTATATATATGGTGCGTATATATGGCCGAATTATGATAAGCCGAGGTTTGCCATTGGCTTTGGGGTTTCGGCTGGGCTTGCGTTGGGGGCCATTGGGTGTGCATGGTGGATGAGAGCAATTTTGCAGAAGGAGAACAGGAGGTTGAAGGAGAGCGGCGGGGGTGATGAGATTAATTATTATGGGTATTGAGTTGGGGGATTTTTGTGGATGTATTTTATTTTCGCCACTTGGTAAAGGTAAAATGTATGTATGTTGGATATTTCATTTCAGACTTTATGGGTAACTAACAGGTAGGGGTGCGGTGGTTGTGATTTATGGATGAGCCAGAGGTTGTATTGATAATAGGGGTTCTTCCCACCAAAGAGGACAACCGATTATATGCCCCCATCCGTCATTTGACGCCTCCCCATGATATGATCATTGTGTGATCGAGCCAATTGAATCTTTTAATAAAGCAGAAAAATACTCCATACGCCCATGGTTGATTAGCGGAGGCTGGAAGTAATTGTATGTTGGTTATGCATATTCTCCTTTCTTTTCTCAACAAAGAGAAAAATATCCCAACAAAAAGAAACAAGGGGGCTTGTTTCTCACATCTTTTATCATACTTAGTTACTACATATAAATGCATGCGCATCATCTATGTTCCAGAAATTGAGTCAAAAGAAGCTTCAAATTTTACCAATTCAACTATATAAGATCAAACACTGCTGTCACTGCTGGTTGATTCCCAAGGGTAATGATCAAGAGGTAACTAGTAATAAGTGTGCAGTGAAAGAATGAGAAAGCGCCAAGGGTAAGCAAGACCTGAAGGACCCCCTCTTAAAATGCAACACTCCTAATTACCAATCACCCACCACAATGTTACAGGTGGTCCGGGAGAGATTAGTAGGAATTAGAGGGTTTGGTGGTATTATTAGGAATTAGGATTAATAGGGGGGTTTTGCGTGTTACGGGTATCTGCATAGGTATGGATAGTGGCGGTGTGTTTTAATGGGGAGTACTGCGCTAACTAGATAGTTGCTAGTTAACTATCCTGGACCGTCCAAACGACTAGGATAGACCCCTCAGCTCAACCCCAACCTCCAACCTCCAACCTCCAACACAACGCCCGCAATCTCTCCTCTAGAGCCAACGGGCCCCATAGGTGATCGCTCAGATTCCCTGCTGCAGCTATTGTCAGCTGTACAGCTCATCACTGCTTTTTGCCCCATTCTCGTTGACTTGTTTGTTTTGCTTCCTGACGTTTCCCACAAACCAGCCATCCCTCAATTTGCTGGTTTTATTTCAGCATGCTTCAGCACAAAACAGTTTCTCATAAACGCATCTCAAACCTACGCAAGGATCTTCCTTTTCAAAAGGAAAAGGAATAAACACTGGTCACAAGAGAAGCATATTCACTCGGCACCTCTAAACCCCTCAAATGAACAGCCAATTAACGCCAGACCGATCAAAATACTCAGCCCAATCCCCATCCTCCTGACTCTCACGTCCCCAAATAGCATCCAACACCCGCAACGCGCCACGGATATTTACCGTCCAGAACCCGCGCCACATTCGATCTAGGAAATCGCGAATCCACGCCCGTTGCTCCGGACACCGGCACTCCGCCCCGGCTATGAAAGTCGGCCACAGAAGACTCTTAAACAGCTCAGAGGAGGGCTGGATGTGTGAGATGTGGTTCAGCACCTCTGTGACCTGTTCGGCGAGGAGAGGGCATTCGTCCGCGGACGGGTGTAGGAGGATCCGTGTTGCGTAGAGGGTTATGGCGATTTTATAAGCAGAGGCGACGTGGAAGAGCGCTTCGGTGGATGAATTGTCTACTTTTGAAGAGGGATGGGAAAGGGCTGTCGTTGCCGTCTGAGGTGGATTCCAATAATTGGACTCCCCAGGGTTTGATGGTGCTGGTGGTGCTGTTGGGAGAAGGCTGTCAAGGTAGTGGTGTTGGGAGTTTGGAAGTTCTGTCGTATTTGTGCCCATTGACTGCTGCATTTCCCGTGCCCACTGCCTTGGATCGAAGGCATTGATCTGAGAGAGGACTGTGAAGATGCCCGCTATTGGTGCTGGAATGCGCAGGGACGAGTCTGCATGTCGAAGGGAGGAGATGAAGAGGATGATGCGCAGTAGGGGACCTGGACACCCGAGCCAGACGTTTTTTTCCGTGTCCGAAAGGAGGCTTGGTGATTTTGTCAGTTGGGATGACAATGGTTCCGACCAAGTTCCGGATGGGGTCAATGTTGAACCCATGATGTCAAAGCTGGTGAATATTGTGTTAACAGGATTTGACATTCCTGGACAAAAAATGGCTCTTATCTATACATACGTCATACATGTTCCTGCCAGGAACATGTTGAAACTATCATAAACCATCCCAGGAAATGTTGACAATCCATCCTCTTTACCCGCAAGATGTCTTCCAAAACGAGACTCAAGCATCTTCTTTGCGCCTTCAACATGCAATTTCCAAGTACCACGGCCCGATTCTACCATATCAAGAACCATAAGGAGAAGTGCGGAAGCGATTGTCGCTTCATCTCCTCTTTTATTGGGATTCGACAGGTTTTGCTCCAGCTCACTAAGCGCCCGTTGCTTGAGAAGCAGCAAATGCTGATATGCAACTCTGACATTTGGGTTAGGCGAGTGCATAAATTCTTCGCCACCATCAGATGAGCTTTTCTGTTTTAAGGACGTGCTGTCGAATGCCGATTGACCAGAATACTGAAGGACATGTAAGTTGTGGCACGCCGCAGTTGCAGCCATTGCAGCACAAAGACCGGGACAAACATTAACCATTCGAAGAAGGAGGCGATATGGGTTTCTGTGGGGGACCTCGAACAGCACCATCAGTGCACAGAATTTACGATCATCTCACACCTTGTCAGCAACGGCACTGTGTTGACGCTTAGCCTTCACCCTTGGGCGGACTCACAATAAGCCAAGTAGTATCGCGATATGCTGTCCAAGCCCTGGAACAGCGGATCTACCAGGTTCAAAGAGATAGAAGTAAGATGGTCATCCACTGCATATATGCATTCATCATTACGGCTCTGCTTTTCCGATTTCGAGCATGAGAGTGTCATTCCATCCTGTTGGTATTCTACATTGGAATCTGAGGTATTGACGGGCTCTGGATGCCCGGGTTGTAAGGATTCCAGACTACCCGACATACCGCAGGGATTGTTTTGCGCCCAGCCTAAGACGCTAGAGGACAAAGTTCTCGCCCGCTGGGATCTCTCCGGCTCAACAGCGCCCCGCACCCCTGAAGTAGACTGACAGTTCTTCCCCGCAACATCACCGAAGGTCAAGCCCATCATCTTCCCCCGACTGGCAACTCCCTGCACCCACGTAAATGGCTTCTTGTACCCTAAGCATGTCTTCTTGGCTCTATGGCACTTTTTGCAGGTTGGAAGCAACCGATCACAGATAACCCGTCGTCGTCGACAGGTATAACACGACTCGCTAGAAAATTTAAGGCCATCGTCGGAAGTTTGTGGTGACGTGGGCAGAGCAGCTGAATGTGAAGGAAGAGGCATGCTGCCTCTACAAGCGACTACATTCTCGCCCATCAAATCCAAATCCAGCCAACAATAATAGTTAACCCTCAAAATACTGGCATCCAGGTAGGGGTCCCTGAAGAAGCAGAATCAAAACAGCTGACCATTGTGGGAAATAAACAGATCTGGTTTTGCGATGGAATGATGGCCGAGGCATGTATTATGGATCCACTGCTTAATAATCGTTTCGGTCCCAGCCAGGAGGGTGATGAAAACGTGGATACCCTATCAGCAACTCCATAATAATAGCCAAACAGCTGCGCAATTCCACTCTAGTAGAACTACGCAGAAATGCTCGGCTACGTCCCGATTGTGTCTTGGCTTCCTCTTCGGGACTAGCCCCATTTGCCGCCAGTGGCTCGCCCTCTTCAACCAGAAGAGCCTCTCAGGGTTCTAGAAGGAGTCTTCGGGCTTGGCTCCAAAGCTTGGTACAAAATGTTGGGTCCCCCCTCTCAGCTTGGCTTCCCTTTTAGGCACTCCTGGCCCTATATCGGGACCACATTGTCATAGCTTTCATCTGAGCCTCCTTTTGGGGATTTCTATTTTACGTTTCTTTTTCGCCCTTCCACTACTGCTATCCCATGCCAAATTGATATTAATATGCCGTACCGCCGTTGCGAGCATGGAAATTTCATCAACCCTTGGAAATCTCTCAATCGTTTAGTTGTACATTCTTATGGTCTAGTTATTCTCTGGTCTTGAGCATTACAACAATGCCTCCAAAAGGGTCGGTATTGTCCCGGATTCCAAGTCACAATGAACGACCGCGCAATGCTACCGAACGGGAAGATGATTTGGAGTCGCACGTCCATCCGACTCGGCAGGACGAGGACACATTGGCAAGTTTGCACCAATGTCTTACGCAGTACTCCGACCACGAACCCATTGAACATGCAGAGCCGCACTCAACTCTTGAAAAATATCTTCGAGAACACCGGGTGAAAGATGTATGCGACAGACCCTTTAGCCGACTCGGGATTTGTTTTAAGAATGTGACCACCTGGGGTGTCCGAAACGAGCATTCGCAGGTGAAGACTTTAGCTCAGGCACTTTGGCGGACGGCAACATTTCAGGACGTGTATGAGTGGACCATCAAAAGATGGATTGCTCCCCCAAAACTTGAAAATAGGAGACCCTTGATCAATGATTTTTCAGGGGTTGTCCGAAGCGGGGAGATTATGCTGTATATACCGTACCTTATCTCATATTTAAGATGCTCAATTATAATGAGTCCACTAATTGACTTGTTGTTTTGTTTTAAGGGTATTGGGCCGCCCTGGCGCTGGGTGTTCGACATTTTTGCGAACCGTAGCCAATCACCACTCCTCCTTTTTGGGCGTGACTGGATCCATTGACTATTCCGGGCTTAAACCAGAAGATATGTCAAAACATTTTAGAGGGGAAGTTGCTTATATCCCAGAAGAGGATATCCACTTTCCCACTTTAACTGTACGTCAAACACTGGAATTTGCATTGGAGAGCAAGACTCCAAAAAGGCTACGGCATAAAATTCCTGAGATCTTGGAAATCTACGGCCGAGTTTTTGGCATATCCCATGTCATGGACACGCTAGTTGGGAACGAATATATCCGTGGTGTTTCCGGTGGTGAACGGAAACGTATTTCGATCATTGAATCTCTTGCAACTGATTCTGCCGTTGGTGCATGGGACAATTCTACCAGGGGTTTGGATGCTGCTGCTGCGGTTGATTATGCTCGAAGCCTTCGAATTATGACGGACGCTTGTGGCAAGGCAACCATCGTGACACTCTACCAAGCCTCTGATGCCGTGTACAAATTTGCAGATAAAGTTTTAATTATAGACGAGGGACGGATGTTATTCCAGGGCCCTGCGAACAGAGCAACATCCTACTTCGAAGACTTGGGGTATAAACGTCACCCCAGACAGACCATCGCAGATTTCCTTACTGGCATCACATCCGCTGAGACTCGATCTTTTCGGGACGGTTTTGAAGCTCGTGCCCCTAAAGGGGCAATCGAATTGGAAAAGGCGTTCAAGGAAAGCAAAGATTTCAAGGTTATCCAGCAAGATATCCGGAATTACGAAGAGCAACTTTCCAGCTCCCGTAAAAGAGTGACGCACCAAGCCAATGACTCTAATTCCACCCTGGCAGACTTCACAACCCTTGCCCGGCAGAAAAAGTCTCGTTTCGTTTCGGCTACATCGGTTTACAACACTTCTCTGGTAAAACAAGTTGTTCTTTGTACGAAACGTCAATGGTGGCTCCTAAAAGGTTACCCTTCGCATTTGTACTTGAAACTGGGTAATTCTATTGTGCTAGCACTTTTGATATCGTCTCTGTTTTTTAACCTACCTGCTACCACTAAGGGTGCCTTCTCCCGCGCGGGTTTTCTCTTTTACAGCGCCCTTACCTTGGCCTGGATCCAATTGGCTGAACTTGAAGACTCCGTTCAAGGCCGTGGCATCATTAGCCGTCAGAAACGGTTCGCCTTTGTGAGGCCGAGCGCCGTTGCCTTTGCTCGTACTTTGTTCGACTTCGTATTAGTCTTTATAATGTCTGTGGTGTTCAACATAATCGTCTATTTTATGGCTGGTTTCAAATTGGATGTGAGTACTCTGAAATCCATGAGCTTTTTTGTATTTCTGGGAAAATTTTGATGTTACTAACACGGCTTGTACTATAGGCTGGATCTTTCTTTATCTTTTTCCTCTTCTCATACCTGTATACTGTTTGCCAGACTTCTCAATTCCGGCTGTTTGCGGCTTTCTCGAGTTTCGAAGTGGCCCTACGATATTGTGGTGTGATATTCCTAATCGCCATTACTTACAGCGGCTACCTGCTCCCATTAAACAGGCTAATTTCTCGGGTGCCTTGGGTTGGATGGATTGCGGTAGGCATATTGAATCCCTACCTCAAACATCTAGTATGCTAATTATTGTCCATAGTACTCCACACCCGTGATATACACCTACGAAGCATTAATAGCTAATGAGTTCCATAATCTTGAACTCACTTGCGATCCCGCGTCGATTGTCCCTTCAGGTCCTAATTATACAAATCCGATGTATCAGTCCTGCGCGGGCGCTGGCAGTGTGCCGGGACAGCTAACAATCAGTGGTGACGCTTATCTTGCAAGCAGATATGGTTTCTATTATCGCAATGTATGGAGAAATTTCGGCATCTTGGTTCTGTTTACCATAGCATACACGGTTATGAATGCTTGGCTTTGCGAGGTCCTGGAATGGGACGACGGTTCTGCTGGCGCTGTTTTATATGGCAAAAAGAGCAAACGACGCCGAAGTGCGGCTGTCAACGATGAGGAGAATAGAGCTATTGATGGCGACCACAAGGCTCCCCCAGAGATGACAGGAACAGATTCCCGCGGCGCCCCCGCCATGAGCATTGCGAAGACGCAATCGACCTTTGCGTGGCGGAAATTGAGATATACTATACGACAAGGAACCTCAGAGAGGGTCTTGCTAAATGATGTTTCTGGATATTGCCAACCGGGGAAACTTACAGCGCTAGTTGGATCATCTGGTGCTGGTAAATCAACATGTAAGGCAATCCTCTCGCTACGTCACTTTTTAGAGTGCTAAACAACTAACACTAACCCCTTTAATAGTGTTGACTGTTCTCACTCAACGCCAGAACACCGGCACGCTGACTGGCGATTTAATGATTGATGGAGAAGTTCCGGACATGACATTTCGTCGGAAAATTGGATATTGTCAGCAGATGGATCTCCAAGACGGCACAAGCACAATTAGAGAGGCTTTTGAGTTTTCCGCATTATTACGGCAGGGATATGATGTTCCGCGACAGGAGAAGCTTGCCTATGTGGACACGATCTTACAAACTCTTGGGCTTATGGAGCTGCAAGATGCTGTGATAGGCTCACTGCCGATAGAGCAAAAGAGACGGACGACCATCGGAGTTGAGCTTTGCGCCAAACCAAGCCATCTTTTGTTTTTGGACGAACCTACAAGTGTAAGTTTTCTATACTGTCATTTGATCACTTGGAATGCTAGAAATAACACTCGTCTTCTACAGGGTCTCGATAGCGAGGGTGCGTTCAGCATCGTCGTATTACTCAGGAAGCTTGCGGATGCAGGGCTTTCCATTGTGTGCACCATCCACCAAGCAAGTCATAAACAGATTGAACTTGTAAGTTATACTCACTCCCTTAATTCCACCAGCCGTTTGCTAACAATTTTTAGTTCGACCGTGTCCTCGCATTGAATCCTGGAGGCAACATATTTTACTTCGGGGATGTTGGACCTTCTGGAAAAACTATATGCGATTATTTCGGCCGTCACGGTATTGCCATCGAACCCGGGAAGAATGTGGCAGACCTTCTTATTGAAGTTGGTGTCGGAGCAATTAAGGTGGAAGGGAAGGAAATGGACTGGAATAACGTATGGAAGAGCTCGCCCGAAGCAGCCAAAGTTGAGGAACTAGTCGACGTTATCTGCTCCAAAAAGGGAAAGGGAATTGCCGTGGACCAAAATGCCGACAAGATGGAATATGCGTCGTCGACATTCGAACAAATAGTCCAACTCACAAAGCGCCTATCTCGGCAATACTGGCGCACCCCTGAATACCCCTATTCAAGACTTTATGCATCCGTCATCCATGCTTTACTCAATGGACTCACCTATCTGCAAATTGGAAATAGCGAGACGGACATGCAATCGCGAGCGTTCTCCTGTTTCTTAATCCTCATGCTTGTCCCGGAATTCGTCAACGGCACCGCGATGAAGTTCATTGAGAATCGCGACATGTGGTTAGAACGCGAGTATCCAAGCCGGATGTATGGATGGTTCAGTTTCTCCTCTGCTCAAATCTTAGCTGAACTACCATATGCGTTTATCGGAGGAACTATTTTCTATCTTATTTTCTACTTCTGCGTGGGACTGCCTCTCGGTACTCCGGCTGGCTATACCTTTCCCATGGTTCTCTTCTTCCACCTTTTCGCGACCTCTTGGGGTCAATGGATTGCTGCAATGAGGTTCGTATCCGAAAACCCTCAGCCCTTTTGTAAACAAACTAACCAATTCTTTCCCAGTACCGACGCTGTCATGGCTGCCAACCTGATGCCTTTCTTCCTGATCATGTGTGAGCTGTTCAATGGCATTCTGCGACCTCAATCAGAGATGCCTGCCTTCTGGGCTTATACCATGTATTACATTGCACCATTTACATACTGGATCGGAGGCATTCTCTCGATGGTCATGAAGGGTGTCAAAGTCACCTGCGACGCGAGTGAATTGATAACCTTCTTTGCCCCTCCAAATCAAACATGCGCAGAGTACGCCGGCTCATGGATTACTTCGGCCCGGGGTTACCTAGCTAACCCAGAGGGCATGGAAAGATGTCAGTACTGTTCGTATCGCTTGGGTGACGACGTAAGTAACTCGCCATCTCCTGTTTATCTCTTTTCTGTTTTATCTTCCACAACTCCAAGTATTGGCTGGGAGGACACATCAAATTCAATCCATTGACACACACGCTAACCGATTGATATCACCAGTTCCTCGCTAAAAATAACATTTCGAGTTCCAACGCCTGGCAATACCTAGGCATTTTCGTCGGCTTCGTGGTTACGAACTACATGATCATATATTTGCTTGTCTACTTCTTCTCCGTGAAGAGGTTGTTCAAAAGGTCCAAATGATCCGAGGCAGTTCGCCTATATATATATATATATATATATATTGTGTCTTGGGGAAATAAAATTTCGCCCTGGAACTCGATTTCTTCTTGCTTTTCTATTGGCGATTATACTATGGTTGGGAATATACCTTAGATTGCATATGTTGACTTTTTATTTATCTCTCTCATCAAGATCATTTGCTGTTGAGTTTAGATTGGGAAACGCATTTCATTGAAGTGTTTTAGAGAGTATGCCCTCAATCTCGTCAGATTCTCATTAATTCTTTCCTTTTTAAATCAAACATCTGACGATATTCATTTTCTAATGATTGTGCATACTCAGCAATACCTCTCCACCTATCCCGGTAGCTTAGTTCAATTTCAATTTGCAAGTCAGCTACAACTTTCAATTCATTCCACCAGCCATACCTTAGTCATTATCTAGCGGTGCCAGGTAGAGATCACCTCAAACCCGTTACAAACACATAGCTATCTAGCTAAACTAGCTATACGAGAATTCAATTCAACCTTCCGTGCAAATACACAGACTAGTACCGAAACACACGTATATATGTACACACCTGCATACATTAGCGATCATCGCCATCCATAAATGGCATCCAACATATTGCGCGTCTAACAAGATCTGAATTTGTTGTCCTCGTCCTCATCCTAATTAGATTCCAAAGACCCAGTCTAGCATGAGGGGGGGAACGGCGCGCAGAAATAGAAGCGGATGGAGGAAAAGGGAGAGAGCGGTGGTTTGGGAAGGGGAGTATACATCCAAGCATATAAACACACTATGACAATTTATATAAAATGACATGTTATTCACAGCATAAGTAAGGAGTTCCCATGTCCCGCCATCCAGCAACAAAGCCAAAAACCTAAACCCAAAAAAAAAAAAAAAAAAAAAGAGAGAGAGAGAGAGAGAGAGAGAGAGAGAAGAAAAGAAAGAAAAAGAAAAAATAATTAAAATACAACAAAAAGAAAATTAAACAAAACCTAAAACCAAATAAAAACGTCAGTTCGACGACCCTACCCTAGCCCTCTTCCTCGGCCCTCCCCTTCCCCCTCTCCCATCCCCATCCCCATCCCCATCCCCATCCCCATCCCTCTCCCCATCCCCCTGCCCAATCCCCATCCCAACCCCAATCCCGATCGACTCCGAACTCACAACATCCTGCATGACAAACGACGCACCATCATTACTACTATTATCCCCCACGCCTCCTCCGGGCTCAGACACTTGCATAATCGACGACACGTTAAAGACAGGATCATCCCACACCTGCCTCATAGCATGATGCTGATGCTGATGCTGATGCGGCAGCTGATGCGGATGCGGATGAGGATGCGACTGCGACTGCTGGTGCGAACCGTGATGGTGATGGTGGTGATTCTGCTGGTGCGTGGGCTGATTTAGGCCGGCTGCTATTTGCTGGATGGTGCTGGTGTTGCTGGCGCTATTACTATTGTCCGGCGCAGCGGCGGGGGTGGGGGAATGGAAGGCGTCCGCTAGGCGGTCGTAAGGGTGGGCTAAGGGGCTGGAAAAATCGATGTTGAAATTACTGATGAAGGCGGGGGAGTTGGCGGACATGGCTAGGCGGGAGAGGCCGGGGGATTGGGAGTGGAGGTCTATTCCTTGTAGATAGGGTGGTTGGGGGGTTTGTAGTTGAGCGGGGTTTTGTATTTGACTATCCGGGGTTGGGAGGGGGGTGTTTGGAGAAGGGTGTCCGAAAAGTGTTTGTTGTAGGAATTGGGGGAAAGGAGGTGGTGGAGGGGGGCTAAGGATTTCAGGTGTCTGGGTTGAGTGGGGTGGTGCATGGGAGGTATCTCCTGATTGCTGTCGTTGCGGCTGCTGCTGGTGCGGCTGTGCTATAAGCTGCGGTGGCTGTTGGTACCACGACTCACGGTGATCGGTGTGAAGCGTGTTCAGACTTGGAATCGTTCCGCTTTCTGAAAGTCCCGCTGATATACATCGTAAATTATCGGCTCTAACTTTCTCCCCGGTTCGACCTGCAGCTACAAGTGCCTCCAGAAGATCAACACAAGCCGATACTGATGTTTTTATATCACTCGCCTTTTTCGGAGATCGTTTGATTTTTGGCTCGCCAGATAGAAACTCTGGGAGTCCGAATAGAGACAGCAATCCACAAGACCACAAAGTATATACGTGTGAGCCGGGATTGACATCGAATACTAGTAAATGACGCTGGGTTCGGGAATTCAAGCAGATGAGTTCTTTGGCAAATTCCATGCATTTGGTAAGTGAGATGGCATACTGCGGTTCTGAACGGAAGAAGGAGAGTGCAACTCGGTGCGCCGCAAGTCGGGTATAGAGGTAGGATATATGTAAGAAGGCAATTGAGGGTTCGATGAGTGGAAGCGTCTCTTTTGAGGAGGCGGATGGATGAGTAAAGGCGCTTGGATCTAGTTGAAGATGGTCTGGAAGCGTATGAATCCACTGGTCTAGCAATCGATCGATCGTCTTGATCTTGGTAACGGTTTGCCTTCTGTCTGTTGTGGTGTAGAGAATTTCAAGGGTATTAGAGAGTACGCGAACCACTTTGATCAGCGAAACGAAGGTTAGCATTCCCGTCGGTTCTCCCGGAAGGGAGAGCAGGTAGCCGCTTTGGTTGACGAAGTCATCATCGACATCTGACGGAAGTTCGACGTCGATATCTTGATCGCGAAAGGACTTTGGCAGTCCATATATCGCGCATACGAAACTAGAGTAAAATAAAAAAGAGAAATATTGTTTCTATATCAGATAATGCTCAAAATATGTAGAAAATGTATGGGGACTCCCAACCGTACTTATCAAGCATATAGCAAACCCAAAAAACCCGCTTCCTCAACTCAGTCTCCAACGGGTCAAACTGAAATCGTCTTGTATGCCGATGCAGTCCCAATTCCAGCGCTAACCGCGTCATGCTTCCCGTCATTTGAAACGCTAAGCTGCGTTTTCCGGTATATAAAAACCACAATGTCTGCAGCTCCTGATACTGCATGGTTGCAAGATTGTTCATTGCTAGGATATCGTTATGGTACTTGGACGACTGGCTGTAGTACTCAATATCCTCCTGGTTGCTCTCAACGGTAGGTTGGCCATCAACAACCTCGCCAATCATGAAAAGGTGTCGGCACCCAAGGGCCAGGATGAGGTAAAAGAGCCCTAGAACACACCAGTCATGCTCAGAGGCAGGAGTACTATACAGCTGGTTGATCGAATTGGTGAACGAGGGTCGATGCAGAATGGGGAATATATGTCTCCAGGCGTCAAACCAGGCATCAATGTATCCCTGAGCAGTCTCACGGGGTGGTAAGGGGGTTAACGTCGCAGATGTGCTAACAGCATAGTGAACGGGATACTCTGTGCTCTCATCATCAACGTCAACTCTAAGCAGAGCATCTCCGACTTTCTTATTCGGGGGGGACTGAGAAAGGCAAAACCGTTGCTCAGCGGTCCCTATGAAGAAGATGCCGGAAGAAGATCCCATAAAGCGACCAATCCCTCTTCGATCGAGATTCATACGCCCGACCTCTCGCGAGAGAGGTTCGTCCGTAGCCTGTCGCGGGCCCAGCTTTGCCACAGTGTCTGGACGGTTACTAGTTGTGGAAGTTCCAGCTTGTCTTGGGGATGCGATATTTGCACCCGAAGTTTCCAGTTCTTTAATACGTTTATCTTTGGAGTCATTGCCAGCTCGCAGCTTGTGAACCTCCGCTTCAAGCTGTCTCAATCGTTCCTCGATGGATTCCGTATAGCTAACCAGTCACAATAATCAATCATCATCACCATCGTCAGCGATCATCAACCCTCCTCATTCCCATTCCATAATATACATACCTTCTTGGATATGACTTGCGATTCAGCTTGACGGTGGTAAGACACTCGAGGCCAGCCGCTTTGCATCTCCCACACTGTAATTTATGTAGCGGTGATAAGCTGATGCTTTCCCACCAGAAGAATGGGAAGAAAGAAAGAAAGAAAGAAAAAGAAAGCATCGAGGCTTTCGAGGACACACGTATTATATAATATGGATGGCTATGAATCGCGGTCTATACATACAGCCGGAACCGTGCCATCGCATCGAACCTAGAAGTATAAAAGAGGATTTTCATTCATCAGCGCCATGTCGCCCGACAATAACTATCATGACATGTCATGCCATGTCATGCCACATCATCCCATCACAGGTCAACATGTATATAATCAATTAACCAAACATCACCACCATCATCTCATAATCCACCCATTTGCAGCCAAACACATAAAAACATGAAGAAAACACCCACCTTCTTAAACCGACACCTGTCGCACGCCTGTATAGTTCGGCCCGTCGAAGTTAGCGCCGGCGAGCCCAAAGGGGGATGCTGCAATTGGGCATAGGCGGGGTTATTGTTATTCTCGCGATCAGCAGCAGCGTCGCTGGAGTGAGGCGATTCCTCCGTCATGCTGTGTTTAACTGTTGATATATATATAATACCTAGGTGTGTATATATATACATATATATACATATATTTGGGGGTCTGCGCAGGTCGAGAGGAAGGGCAGAAGAAGTTTCAACGGGGCTTCGGGGGTAACTGTAACCGCATGGAATAGGAGAGACGGCATTGTTCCTAGCCAACTTAGCTGCGGGGATCGTGTGATGGGGGAACGCGCATTGTTTCTTGATGTTCTGGTGTGGTGCAGGGTCAGAGTCAGTCTCTCGGGGGGTTCTCTTGGAGTCTGTGCTGTGAGGTTGCCATGCGATAGGAATATGGTGTGGTTGACTAACTACCTGAAGGGAATGAATGGGATGGATGATGTTGGTTGTTCCAGTCAGCCATGCGATGCTTAGTTACTTGGATTTTGGGATGGTCCTCTGCCTACCTTATAGTAGTTAGCTAACTCACTAACCACCTCTTGACTCCTGCCACTGCTAATTACTTAACAACTGCTGTTAACGTTATGGGATCCTCCGACTCTGTGAGGAGTTCGTTCCCCAGTTTTTGATTATACGAAGAACTAGTTGAGCGCAGTCGTTTATTAGTGGCTAACTACGGGCTGCTCTAGTCACGTGCCTCCCTATGCATGTAGTCCCCGGGATTATCGTACTGGATTATCCCATGGTTGAGACTGCTTTGGTCCACAGGAACAGCAGAAGAGTGAACATGGTGTATTAAAGTATATTTTATAGCAGCACATCACGTCGTTGGAACCTTGGAAATGGGTTGCATTGCAAAAGAAGAACCACTGCACAGAAAAGCAAAAAAAAAGGGGTATAAACAAAACGCCGGCAAAACATAATTGAAACCGAAATAAACAGCGCCTGTAGAATAAAAACCTCAAGCAGACAGCGGGAATACAGGAAGAGATAAGTAATATAAGCAATAGGGGAAATATCATAGCAAAAGACTCATCAGTGGTGGTATCGGTCTCATTCATTATCGAGAACAATCGACAGAAAAGAACAAAGGCACGCAAAAAAAAAAAAAAAAAAAAAAAAAAAAAAAAGAGAGAGAGAGAGAGAGAGAGAGAGAATGGCAACAAGCAACGTAGAAAAGAAAATACTCAAAATACTCAATCCCATTCATCCACATCCATCCCATCATCCTCAATCTCAATCGTCGTCCCCAGTGCCTCCCTCCCTTCCTTAATCATCGCTTTCAACTGCTGATTCAACCGACGGATGCTCGCATCCTCCTCGCGTTCCCGCCGCTTCGCCTTGGCCGCATACCGCTGCGCTTCAAGGGACACAGGTGAACTCCCTTGTTTGGTCGGGCCTCTTGATCGGTTGGGTTCGAAGGGCGACGAGGAGGCGTTCTTCCGGCTGAAGTGATGATGATGATGATGACGATGAGTCAGATTGTTGTTATTATTGTTGGTATCGTTGGTATTACTGTAGAGGTGGTGCGAAGACGAATACGAAGATGATGGTCGCGATGCCATGGGTATCAGAGTCTGTCTCCTGGCCAGTCTGCCCACTGCGATTCGCCGCGGCGTGCTGACGGGGTGGTGATATATGCTATTGCTCTCGGGCGGCATGTTGCGAGCTGAAGTGTATGAAGAAGATGAAGGGCTTAAAGCCTCTTCTTCCCGCGCGCTCTTACCCTTCCTAACCAGAACCCAGTTCCCCTGTAGCTCATCGTGGTTAACACTGTGAAGGTATCGCTGGCTGTTAGTAATAGATGCGGCGGGGAACTGTCCCGGGACATTAATCGGCCCGTCCGTTCGTTTATCACCGGAAGAGAAGTCACCATCCTTCTCACAGACATTCTGCCGCGAGCCCGCGTCGACCAGTCGTGGCATCGTCGATGCCTGCGACGACAGTGGTGGGAGCTGTTCAGAAGGCATCTCATAGCCCTTCCCACCCCCAGCATAAAACCCACGAAACGGACCCGGCCAGCAAAGGTCCCACACCTTCACCGCAACTCCGCCAACAATCTTGATCACAGCAGAGCCCCAGCCACGCCCTCCATCGCCACCGCCCTCCGAAGAACCGCCCACCCTCATCCCATCCCGCTGCGACGACAACATCGACTCCCGTCTACTCCGCTTCCTCGCCGTACTCACAGCCCGCCCACCACAGACGGGAGACCCAGCCAATGAAGGTGTGTCCATGGGCATATGTACCAGGTCCTGATAGCGATTCGGACGATAATCCACCTCCGGCCCATTCGCGTCATCGTCATCGTCATCGTCATCGTCATCACCATCATCATAGTAACCCTGTTTCTCAAACGGGAGCGTCGACGACGTATCCACACCGCCCGCAAAGCGATAGGCGGTATTAACTAGCGGCGTCGGGCTGGCGATGCGAGACAGAGAGGTTGTCGTCATCGACTGGTCTCGCCATGTCGTAGCAGTGATGCTAGTTGTATTCAACGTAGTGCTCGCGGCAGTTTTGGAAGGAGATAAAGAAGAGTGCTCTTCCAGAAATCCAGCAGCGTCACCGTCAGCCACATATCCGTAGCCGTATCGGGCACGTTTTTTGCGGCTTCCATGGTCCGAACGGGCGGAGCGATGGAGCGAGGAGGCTGCGGATGGCGTATGGGGGGAGCGGTAGAATTGGGATCTGGCGCCGACAAGGTCGAGTTTTGGGGGGATGGGGGAGTCCAGGATGAAGGTGCCTGGCATGGGGGAGTCGGGGAGTGTCATTGTGTTAATGGCTATGTATGGTTTGTGGGTTGGTTTTGGTGTTTAGAATGTGGACGTTCAGCCTATACTAGAGAAAGGTGGTTCAGTTGGAGATCCGGATGGTAGTTAATGTGTAACAGCAGAGCCTGACGAAGACGATGTCGATATATCTGGAGTAAATAAAGAAGCTTGTAACAACCCGTCGCCTTCTTCTTCTTCTTCTTCTTCTTCTTCTTCTTCTTCTTCTTCTTCTTCTTCTTCTTCTTTTTTCTTCGTTTCTTCTGTCTTTCTGTTCCTTTTTGATCTTATCCGTGTTGGCCCTCCCAGGCTGACAGCAGGCCGCTGAACGGTTGTTGACGGTCCGGGCGGGAGCCCACGCCCAGCTCCAGACAACTGCAGCGTTGACTAAAGCAGTTACATCATCTCGCCCGAACGTGATCACCCTGTCATAGCTAACTAAGTTATACGTGTGCATCATCAACCAAGTGAGTAGTAATTGGACACCTGAGGAACACTTGGAGTATCGCTTTCCCGCCCGTAGTCAAATATACAGAAATAAACTCTTGCAAAGTAAACAACAACCAACCGTGCAGTCGATTTTTTAAAAATAGCTGTTCCACTGTGGATTATTTCCTGTCGAATAAAACACATAGGCAGCAGCATCCTCAGTGATGAATCATGTTTTTATCTCACATGTAATAAATTCTTAAAATGGCAATGATTACTGTAATACAAAAATCACACGAAATATCCTTTTTAAATCTATGAAGCAGCTAAAAGTTCTCTATGTTTTACACTGTCATATTGCCGTGTTGATGGAGATCAACACAAGAACATTCCATGAATAATAAATACATTTAATTAAATAGAGAATCCCACCATCCAAATGTATCTTGCAATTTAACATGCCCCGGCAATAAAACCAAAAACAACAATTAAGATAAAAAAAAAAAATAAAAACCCAAGATCAAACTCAGATCAAATCTACAACTTCTGCGCCCTCCAATTCACACCCGCCGCCGCCAGCGCATCCTCCCCATCCACAAGCACACACCACCCTTCGTGCCCAGCACTCCCCTCCATCCCAGCAACCGCAGCCTTGAAGTTCTCCCGCGCATACGCAAGCACCTCGTCGTCAAAGGTGCCCGGCTGCAGCCACACAGCGGGTATATCCACCGACTTGGCCTCCTTCAACACCGCAAGCGTCACTTTTGGCGGCGTCACGACGGAGAGCGATGTCTGCTTGGGCGACGGGAGCGCGGAGGGAGACGGTGTCGTGCGGTATGTGTGCGAGGGGAAGGCGATTTCGGGGGCCCGCGGGTTCAGCGGGGTGACGGGCAGGGAGTGCTGGTGGTACCAGGCGAGGACTGTGTGGGGTCGGGAAGAGGGTGATGTGATTGATGTATCAGAAATTACTTTCCTGCGTCTGTGTTTTGCAAGGACCTTTGTAGTTTATTTTTCTGGGTGGCGGAGGTTGTTTGCTTGCTCACTTTTGTACCCGAACTTGCTGGGGTCAGTGCTCGCGCCAGCTACGGCGAAGCGTGGGGAGGAGAAGAAGAGTTTGGCTGCGGCCTCCATTTGTTTGTTTGACGGGAGGCGTTTGTCTTTTTCGTCAACTGAAAGGAAGAGGGGAGACGCCAGGTAACTCTGTATATTGGTATGATGGTTATGGTGTTTTAAATTACCTATGATCGGAAGATGGGGGACGATATATTTATTAGGATTTTATAGATTGAAGTTTATGGTTGTTTGTTTCTCCCGTAACTAACTTCCTCGGCCGAGGTCCGATTCTGCTGCAATTATTTTAAATATCTGTACAGCACTTTCTATGCCATCAGTATATGGTTAGATTGAGCATGCGATTTGTCGGCTACCAGGACAATATCTCCATCGTCGTCTACTCTGTGTCATTTGTTACAGCAGCTAATAGAAGTTTACTAGAGGATCTTCGTTGTATTTCAAATCACTCGGTTAACTAATTACTCTGGATAGCAAGCAGAACACAGTCAACACAAAAGCACAAATCAAACATGAAGGTGGTTCAGAAATAAAGGAAAATAGACATGACAATATGCATAACTACAGGTACCGGACCCCAGAGGTCCAAACGTAGCAATTTAAGAATCTAGCCTACAGATCAGGCTATCATCAAGGATATCCCATTGTGGCAGAAAGGTTGCAACGTAACCTCCAGAATCGACACCCGGAATTCCCCCTTCCCTCACCAACGACAGGGCCTTGCTCGGCGGGCGTTCCCTATCAAATTCTCCCTAAATCCTAGAAAAGCTGCCCTAAGCGGATCTATATGTCTCTCACCCAGCGGGTGAGAGGGGACCCTACTGATTCATCTTCAAAAATGGGTTGCCTTTGCTTTCGCCTGTTTCCAGATAGCGGATGTATTCGTCATCGTATTCAGCAACGACGAGACAGATCAGATCTCAGCATGATCTTGACTAATCATCAATCGCCTGTGATATTAATTTAGCTGCTGGCGAGTCAAGACATTGAGTGTAAGGCAATGATAAAAGTAAAGAAGATTTCGTTTAAACTGTGGAATTGGAAGCATGACTTTACCTGTGCGTTGGCCCAACGTTTCTATTTTGTCCGGTTCAACTTGTATCCATGCAGCCAGCCATTTGCGAACTTTCTTGAATCCATGGTCGAGCAGCAGATCTGATATCAACTTTGGTCTCGAGAATTGCCGACGATTTCTCATTAATCACCCCACCGTTCACGCGGAGATGGCCATCAGTTCTTGTTTCAAACCCACTATTTTCGGTCACCACATTATATTCTTTGACATTTCGGATGCGGGTTGTCGCGCAACTCTATGCTTAAAAATGAACACCTTGAGTTGCAGAGTCCATATCGCACCTTTACCCGTAGCAAGAGCGTAAGTGTATCGTCCAAAAAAGAACCGTCGTCATGTAGAGAAGGGCATCTGAGTCCCGGGCATGTCTATCGGTATTGGTTGGGCATTCCCTTATATGGTTCTCGTGATTATGGGCGACCAGACCTTCTCCGAAGGGTTGCTAGTTACTTTTGGTAGTTGCTCAATCTGTTACTGGAAGTCCCAGAGCAAGTCAAATCAAGGATCGGTTGGGCTTTGATCACTATTGCCTCCAGATACTTTTGCCAGCCTGGTTCTTTCATTAGCTTCCACCTATAGTGGTCCAAGTCGAAATGCATCTCTTCGTTCAAGGTTGTCGGGATGTGCGACTCCCAGTAAATACGAAACGTGTAGAACTGTTTTCGTTAGATCTAGATGATGGTTTACAGTTTGGAAAGTCACAAATGGAGACGTTGCAACCCCTTTTGGTTTAGCTTTTTCTTCCCATTCCTGCTTGGATGTTGAGAACTGTTCTGGGAAGAACTGTGACATTCCGAAGGGAGCTGCACATAATTAGAAATGCTCAACACAAAAACTGTGCCATAAATGGAAACTAACTCACCTACCCAATAATGGTTGTTAGCTTGGCATTGGAGGAAGTTTTGGAAGGTTAAAGGCGAAAGTGACAGCCTTTTGATTAGGGATTTAAAAGGGATATTGGTGTTTTGAAACGAAATCGTGATGGACATTGTTCTTTGACAGAGTTAAACTGCCGCATTTTAACTACCTAGGCTAGGTGGTTAGTTATATGTAAAGATATCAGGAGCTAGGGGGATCTGGTTAACCGCCCGAAATCTTTTGGGGGGTCTCAAAAACCAATCCAATTAAGTCAGCTCATCGTCCTAAGCGCTGAAGTAGATGAAACGATGGATTTGGAGCTCCGAACTTGATATGCATAAGCACTTCACTTTTTGGTCTAGTTATTTGTAGCATGTTAAAATGGAGCATCTTGATGTGGTACGTGAAAATCCAGCACCCAGCTATGGATCCTGGTAATTTGCTACATAGCTTCGTTATTTGTTTTGGCAAAGAGGTCCAGCTCCGAAGGCACAGTCGCTTGTTTATAATAACTTCGACAAGATACATTTTAATTCCTTTGCCGTCAGATACTAACCCCTGCATGGATATTGCTCAACGTAGAAGCTCCTTTTTTTCAGGAACAGACAAAAACACCACTCATTGGCGCTCAAGGACTCAACACCCAATAAAGGATGGATCGTGGATGCAGGAAGCATCATTGACATGATGACAGTTTGTGGAGAACCGTTTTGGTTCGGCGCTTAACAGGAATCTAATCAGTGATCCCCCATATTCGTATGCGCGGCACGAAGAGAACCCATCACGTAGCAATATCGCACGCTTCGTATCCGAGATTCCCAAGTCTGCTCGAAGGATTCCAAGGAAGACGATACTCGTAGCAGCCGCCTCAGCACCCGCTGGAGGCCATGGAACCACCTTTATTCAAAATCAAAGGGTTAAGGCGAAGAATCCTAGGAGCGGAGGCGCAAGAAGCAAGAGAACTCGAGAACTCATTGCCACTCTTTTTGAATTGTAAGTTTGTTCCCTGTGGTGTTTGCTCGATTGAAAGTTGTATCCATCTGTACCTCTTGGACCACTGTGTTTGTTTTGGTGTAAAGTTATCGTAGTTTGTGATTGGGGTTTGTTGAGAAATGCCAACCATTTTTCTCTTCACATCAATTCTAACCTTCACTTCTTTTCATTTCTCCTTATCACAGAGGTGTGGAATAAAAGGCCTTGCACTGGAAATATATCCTCAACACTATGAGGACCCCGAGAGCCTATTAACATGAGTGTCAATCTACATCTTAACTGAGAATCTGGTTCGCTTGAATTTGAAGACGTCGGAATCAATTAAGGTCACGTGCCTTCGCGATGTGTCTCGGGCCAAATTGGGACCAGATAACTTTGATTCGACATAGACTTCACAAACTAAGGAGCAGAGGGAGGCTTTTCAAGGAGCAAGTATATTGAAGACTTTTTGATATCGTCATACACCATACCTCAGCAGCCTGTATTATGTTTCAACTAAGATAAATGCGGTGATGCCGCCTTTCTTACCTCGGAAAAGGGGACTCTCGGAAGAATCTCTCCCCGGCAAACATCGTGCTCTTGAACTCACCGATCCAGGGCCATCGACAACGAAGCCAGTGAATGAGATCAGAGCGGAGTTGTCAGATAACTCAGAATCGCCCCTAAGCTGCGTATCTTCAACGGATGTGGATAAGAATGGGAATGGAAATGGAAATGAAGGCGATGATGAAACCAGCTCAGATGACGAGGAGGAGAACTGGGAAGATGCGCTTCAGGGGACCACCGCATCCATTACGCCAGCAACTCCAGCCCCACAAGACCTGGAGCTTACGCTGGATAAAAACCACCATACATACGTAGATATAGGTGCCCCGGGGAAGAAGGGGCCCAGCAAGATAGAAAGGGAAATACGTATCCAAACCCATTACATGCATGTGCAGTTTTTACTGTTCCACAATGCTATCCGGAACTGGTGGATTAACGACAAGAAACTTCATCAGATTCTACGAGACCGGCTACCACCAGCTATAAAGGGTGAGATTGAGAAGTGGGAAGTAGCGGCGGGTAGGAAACTACCGAAAACATCGCAAAAATCGCCAAATGCCACATCTAAGGCAACAAAAGGGAAGAGGAAGAAAGATACAAACAGACAGCAGCGCAATTGGGGAGAAGACGCTTCTCGTTTAGAAGCCGGCCAGCCGGATATGAGTCGGGGAGATCCAACGATCCAACTCTTGAGGGTCCTGGCCGCTCACTGGAGAAAACAATTCAAGATTACTGCACCTGGTTTGCGGAAGAGGGGATATCGAACTATTGCAACACTCCAGGAAGAAATTGACTCTTTCCATAAGGGAGATCAAAGTAAATATGACCATGGCGAAAGGATAGCTGATCTGAGTGAGTTTCGAGAACTGGCGCGTCGCTCTGAGGGATCGCGAGATGTAGGCGCTCAGCTGTTTACGGCTTTGGTTAGAGCTCTGGGTATCGACGCGAGGATGGTTGCAAGCTTGCAGCCTATCGGGTTTGGGTGGACGAAAGTGGAAAACTATCGTGTGAAGGATGAGAATCCGCCAACAGCGTCGATAGATGAAAAACCAGTACCACCCTCCAGCACGGAAAGTGGCGAAACGGATGATGATGGGCCCCCATTCAAATCTCATAGACGAAGATCAACGAAGAAGAATGAAATTCCCAACAAGCACTTTGACAATGACCTCCCATTCCCTATATACTGGACCGAAGCTGTTTCTCCAATTACGCATGAAATCATCCCCGTTGAAGCTCTCATTCTGCCCACCACCAATGCTGTTGCCACGACTCCTGAACTCCTATCCTTGTTCGAGCCACGGGGTGCCAAAGCTGAAAAAACGAAGCAGGTAATCGCGTATGTCGTCGCATACTCACCCGACGCAACAGCCAAGGATGTTACTACCAGATACCTCAAGCGACATACCTGGCCGGGGAAGACCAGGGCGTTCCGCATGCCCGTGGAGAAAATCCCGATGCATAGCAGCAAAGGGCCGACGAGATATATTCTCTACGATTGGTTCAAAGACGCCATGAGGGGCTATGAACGTCCAAAAGACAAGAGAACAATCGTTGATGAGAAGGAGGATGCGAAAGATCTACTTCCTAATAAACCGGAGAAGAAGGTGCAGAAGAAGGAAGGGGATACGTTGCAGAGCTTGAGGTGTTCTTCGGAGTTTGTACTTGAACGATTTCTACGGCGCGAGGAGGCGATAAGACCTGGTGCAAAACATGTTCGGACATTTACCAGTGGGAAAGGTGACAAAGTAAAAGAGGAGAAAGTTTATAGGCGGGCGGACGTTGAGAAGTGTCTTTCTGCCGAAAGCTGGCATAAGGAAGGACGACAGATTAAAATGGGGGAGGCTCCTTTGAAACTCGTCCCTGTGCGTGTAGTAACGTTAACCCGTAAGCGGGAAGTTGAAGAAGCTGAGCGTGAAAGTGGTGAGAAGCAGAAGCAGGGTCTGTATGCCCTTTATCAAACAGAATATATCATCCCACCCCCAATTCAAGATGGGAAGATTCCGAAAAACGCCTACGGGAACATTGATTGCTTCGTGCCAACTATGATTCCCAAGGGAGCAACACATATACCCTGGCGGGGCACGGTGCGCATTTGTAAGAAACTAGGCATCGATTATGCTGAAGCAGTCACTGGGTTTGAATTTGGATCTAAGATGGCCGTCCCGATTATTGACGGGGTCGTTGTTGCAAGTGAAAACGCACAGCTTGTCAAGGACGCGTGGCGTGCGGAGGATGCTGAGAAGAGGAGAAAGGAGAAACTTAAGCATGACAAGCTTATCCTTTCGACGTGGAGGAAGTTTATTATGGGTTTGAGGATTGCGGAGAGGATTCAGGCTGAATATGGAGATGGGGGAGAAGGGGAGATGTTGAATCCGTTTGTCAATCTGCAGCGCGATGTTGGGGGTGATGATCCGGGGTCGGAGGAGGAAAAGAAAGACAAAGAGGGAGAGGGCAGGGTAGAAGAAAGGGACTCTGCTGATGAAGGTGGTGGATTTTTAGTACCCGGTGGTGATGAAGAGGCGTCGCTCGAGCCAGATTTTGTTGAAGGAGAAGATCCACACTTGCGGACGAGTGCTAGAGTGACTTCCAATGTGAGTGGTAAGGATAATAGCGGAAATGACGACGAATCATTGTCTGAATTGAGCGATGCCATCTCTGTTATATCGATTGACTCAAGCCCCTGATAATTCTAGATTTTTTTTTTTTTTTTTTTTACCTTCCATCAATATACGCTGGGTTGCAGTGAGATACTTTGATGGTTTGCATGGCGCACATTCCGTGTATGAATAAGGCAAAAAAGGGATATAGTACCATTAAAAATCTAGAATATTTTAATTTGAAATTGTATACTAGAACATTATTCGTTCTGAATAATTGTGCATCGTATCGTGGTTTGGCGGAATATCATCAAGGGGTTAATGTGTTTGGTTTGTTTAGATGACATCAGACCTGCGGACGTCGTTGACCGCATATACTTCTCATTCTTCTCCTGATATCATTTCAATTACGCAGCTCACACCCCCAAGCGCCAGCGAGACTATCACAATGTCTCTAATATCCAAGACGCCGATATATTTTGGGTCTTATTTGGTAACACCACAGGCAAGTTTACATTTTCCCCGCACAATTCCCACCCCACATCCGCATCCGCATCCCGCATCCACATTTAATACAATCCCCCCCGCAATACATCCTGGGATCCCCTCCTTATACAACCCGCAAACCAGGTATTCTACACAACCCCGCTCTCTTACGCCCTCGTAAACCTCAAACCCCTACTCCCAGGCCACGTCCTCGTCTGCCCCCTCCGCCCCGTCCCGCGCCTCGCCGACCTCTCCACCACAGAAACAAGCGACCTCTTCCTCACCGTCCGACGCGTAAGTCGCATGATCGAGCGCGTCTACCATGGCACAAGTCTCAACATAGCGATACAAGATGGGCCGGAGGCGGGGCAGTCCGTGCCACATGTGCATGCGCATATAATACCGAGGAGGAAGGCGGATTTGGACCATCGGGGTGGTTCAGATGCTATTTATGGGATGATGGAGGGAGATGAGGGGCATATTGCGAGGCAGTTGGGGGAGTTGGTGGAGGCAGGGAAGGAAGGGGTTGAGGTGGGGAGGGTTAAACTTCCGGCTGTAGATAATGAGGCGCGAAAGCCGCGGTCGGAGGAGGAGATGAGGGCGGAGGCGTTGGCGTTGGCGAAGGAGATGGAGGGGGAACCGGTGGATTGAGATGGGAGTTGTGTATAAAATAAAGATGGGAAGATTGTGTCCCCGGGAGATTCTCAAGGGGTTAGGTATGGCTGCTGATGATGTTGATGGGTCTTACTTTATGAATCATGCGACATTTGTAGATCGATAATAGAGTATACACAGATTGGAATGGCAAAGAGGCAAGTCATAGAAAATATCTATTCGAGGTCTAATTCCTTCAAACGAAATATATCTTTATGATGCTGGAAGGAGGAGCGAAAAAAAAAAAGTGG